TCTCTATTGAAGCCTTTGTCTTCACTGAACCTCCGGTTGGAACTGGACTTGTTCTTGTCGTAGGTTTTCTCATTTTTCTTTTGTGGGCAGTCCCTAGCCCTGTGCTCAAAGGAACCACAAACAAAACAACCTTGGTTATTAAAGGATTGAGTATTTCTTTTACCTTGTTTGGCACGGTTGTTCTTGAACTTTCGGTACATCCTTCCAAATTGTTTCGCAAACATGCTCATCTCATCATCCGATTCACTTTCGGATTCTTCTTCTTCTTCTCGAGCCTTTAGAGCTATTCCTCTCTCTCGCCTAGCATTCTCGGCATCCTGTTCTTCTTGAAGACCCAATTCATATGTTAGGAGTGATCCGGTCAAGTCTTCAAGCGTCATGATGGATAGATCTTTTGCTTCTTCAATGACCGTGGTCTTAGGCTTCCATACCGGGGGCAGACTTCTCAAGATCTTTCTCACTTGATCTTCCACTGTAATCTCTCTTCCAAGGGCTGAAAGCTCATTGATGATATTAGTGAAACGTGTAATCATATCCTTAATTGACTCTTTTGGCTTCATTACGAATAATTCGTAATTACGCATGAATATGTCAATCTTAGATTTTTTTACACGTGAGGTTCCCTCATGAGTGACCTCGAGCAAATCCCACATTTGTTTTGCAGTCTTGCATCCTAAAACCCGATTGTGTTCGGCAGGACCAAGACCACAAATTAAATATTTAAGAGCTTGGGCATTATGCTCAAGTTTCTCATAATCTTCAGAAGTATATTCAGCTTTAGGTTTAGGAACAACATTACCTTCGGCGTTTCTCTTTGTGATGATATTATCACCACTTTCTATTACATTCCAAACCTGATAGTTATCGGCCTTGATAAAGTTTTCCATCCGACTCTTCCAAAATTGATAGTATTTGCCATTGAACAATGGTGGTCGTTGAGTTGAGTACCCTTCTTCCAATCTGTCAACCGTGTTCATTTTGCCGGATCTCTTCCCAAGGTATTAGCCTCTATGTGGTGAAGATCGGCTCTGATACCAATTGATGAAAACGGTTAGCAACACAAGAGGGGGGGGGGGGGGGTGAATTGTGTGTGTGTGGAACCGTGGCAGTTTTTCGCCGAGTTCTAGTGTGGGATAAAGGGAATAGCTAAATAGTAAAGTGCACAAGAATTTAACGAGGAAAAATCCCTTGGCTCAAAGGGATTAAAAAAACCTCGACCTCCCTCGGAGGAATTTTAAACAACTTCACTAAACAAGCCTTTGAAAGAGTTACAAGAGTGATTCTCCTAATCTACCCTTGAGCCTCCCCAACTCTATCCTCTCTAGGAAGAGTTATGCATCTCTACCTTGCGGGTAGAGAGCCTCTCAGCTTTATCACAAAGCTCTCACACACACTTAACCCGAGGCAGCTACTCTAGCCAATTAAGCCTCAATATTCTAAGTACAATATGAAAGGGAAAAGAGAAACTCTATCTAGAACTCCGAGTGGGCAGTTTCAGGCGCCAAGGACTTGATCTCTTCTTGAATGATTCTTCTAAGTATATTTTTCTCGGTTTTCCTTACTCTTTCTTTTTGGCCTGCTGTCGAATATATAGCTTGTAGGAGTGACATCCGTTGGCCCTTCTTTCCTTTGTAATCTTGAATTTCTTTCCTTCGAATGGATCTTTCCAACTTAGTCTCGATTGAGAGAGGATCTTCTTATGATCTACGAATTCTCATATAAGGAATATAAGCAACGGACATATCTTTAAATACGGAAGCATTTTCCCAAAGGAAGCTTTTGGTCAACATTTTGTAAAAGGAAGCTATAAAGATTTCTTACCCTTTTAGGAGTGGATTCAATTTATTTGAATAACCTTTTCATTAGTGTTACCGTTTGTAAGGCCAAAATATGCTACGGATCCCAAAAGGTAATAATTCTATGCATGCCATAATCGAATAACATCACAGAACATGGAAGATAATAGATTTCAAATGATCATTTAAATAAAGGCCTCGAATAGAACCGAGAGCGGTTCTAGTCCTGGTTTCTGCATGGTTAGTCGCATATATTTTAAGGACCAGGTCTATCTATTGTTCCTGCATGGTTAGTCATCAACAAAACAACACGTTCAACACTATCCTTCCACAGCCTCAAAGCAGGGAAGCCATCAGACGATTGGCAAATTGTTCGATACAACACACGGCCAAACAAAGGTCGCCCAAATCATCGCTCAACTGTGCATCAACTCACTGACCAAGAAAAGCACCAGGCTTATGGTAATCTCAATCGCCATCAAAGGGCTCTCATAATCGGTGTAGGACGACTCAATATTTCTTCAACACATGGGTTTGTTAGAAACCGAGGACCTACATCCATATCTAAACTAATTTTTAATTATCAAATCTAGGCGACAGGTACCGAGAATCAACAAGTCTTCTCTTCTCAAAAACAACCCCAGTTTCCTTCGATCCAGGTGGCTTACTCAATGACTCTCACAATTTTGGTTACTCAACTCAATATTCACATATGACTTCTTAGGACATGCAACCGAAAGTGATTGTCGATCTCCTATCTCATACCGGAAGAAATTAGGAAGTTCAAATTCAAGATCACAATTTGCCACAAAGCCAATTTCATTTCCTCAAAAAATTGTTTTCCAATCGACAATTTGAACACGCAATTCAAAATCTACAAGAAATCTCAAAAGAACAAACATCGTCAATATAGAGATTTCTCATGGGTCTATCTTTGTTATTTTGTTAACTCTCTTTTTTACTTCTTTGAACTTTTTTTTTTGCTTTTTCCTCTATCGCTATGTACTGCTTCTCCTTTTATCAATAAAATCCCCCATTTTTTTCTTCAAACTTTTTTTTTAAAACTGCCATCACGGTGACATTTGTTACAGGTTGACATTTTTTCCTCTATCGCTATGTACTGCTTCTCCTTTTATATTTTTTAGGTTTATTTTTCTATTAGTTAATTTTTTATGTTTTATTATCATTGTTTTTATTAAATAATCCTATTAAACATGACAAACGAAAGTGTATAATAGGAAAAGTTATTCATATTGTTGCAACTTTCACTACAAAAAAACAACGATTTTGGCATGGACATTTGGCTGATTAGCCAAAATTTATATGGTATTTGGAACGGATTGGGCACATATATGTCAAATCCGTGCCAAATTCCGTGCCAATGCCATTTTGTCACCACCTATATGGCACGATGTCATGCCAAAAATATGTTATGATCCCTGCGAAACTCAATCAATCTATGTCAAGTCCGTTCCAATATTGTTGTTTTCTTGTAGTGTTTGATAGAGAAATGTCTCTTATTTTCAGCATATTTAAATAACCTCTATATTTCTAGACGATAGAGCTATGGCTCATTTGATTGAGAAGATTTTTTGGCTGAATATGTGGCGTCAAAATGATTGTTACTAGAATTTTTACTAACATTTTGAATAACTTTTACCAGGATTATTTTTCTAGGATCTTTACCAACATTTTGACGCCACATATTCATCCAAAAAATCTTCTCAATCAAATGAGCCTTAGCTCTATCATCTCTCAAAGAATAAAGGTTATTCAAATATGCTTAAAATAAGTGACAATTCTCTAAATAGCAGTAAATAAAAGCAAAATTACAGAAGCACAAAAATTACTCTCTAATTATTAAGTTTAGATTATTATTTCTATTTGATTGTTTGTTGGACTCCGTGTATAGTAGTAACTAGTAAAGATGATTGATAACACCATTTGTCATATGGAGTTGCTCGTTTTGTGATATGTCACTCAATTTACTCCACAGGTGCTTCTAATTTTCTACATCTGGTTTAGATCGAGTATTTTGTAGTGTCTTACACTGGCCTTCTTATAAATTTGTTTATTCTATTATGATTAATTAATACTCCGTATAAACTTTTTATGATCTGAAAACGTGAAACTAAACTTAATGGCTTGACGTTGATATTTTTTTTTAATTATTTCATAAATTTCGATGTTGGGTTACTCAAACTCAGAGACTATTAATTGACAATTACCAATCGACATGTTTGGCAAAAAATATTATCTAAAAGACTATAACGGTATGATGTTTGATATGATGTAATGTAACGCAATGCAATTGAATGGAATAGAGTATGTAATATTGTAATGCAATAAAAATTGTAATGTAATGAAATGAAATCAATATTCCATTATTATGTTTGGTTAGCAGCGACATAACACCCGGGAAGAAGAAATATGGAGATTTGAAAGGGAAAAGTTTTGATGGGAGAGGTATAGTAGCAATTGGCTGCACGAAAATAAATAGGAGTATAACAAAGTGCAATCTCAAATACATAGCTTTTCTAATGTAAAGCTTATCACACATATAAAAGTAATGAATTCCACGTACTACCTAATGCACATTACATTACGGTTTAAAATAAAATGTCATATCAAAAATTGTATTTGAATTAACACGTAATGTTCATTACGTTACATGATTGATTACATCATACCAAACATAGCCTAAATACATATTCACATCCAATGAAAACATTTCGACCGGAGCTCTACGTTTTGAGTAAATAAGCTAAGGATGATTGTAGAACAACAAATGTATCATAGTTTAATTAAAACCAAGTACTTTTCCGTCCTATTTTATAAGATACACTTTCCTTTTTAGATTGTCCCAAAAATATGATCAGTTTCTTAAATGGACTCCACTAACTTTTTACTTCCTCACTTTAGAGGTTAAAATGATAAAAACAACCACTTTAATTTATCCTTTATTATCTTAAAATCCAACACAAACTCAAATACATCTTATATTATGGGATGTAATATTATTATTTTCTCCACTGAATCCAATATTTTTCAACTTCATAATTAACACAGACATGCATTTAATTAAGCAAGGCGGTTACTACATTAAAGATTTTATTTAGTATTTTACATCATAATATGCTTAAAGAGAGCCATGAAACCTTACCATAATAATACGGAGTATCTCAAGATCACTGTTCAAAACAAACACTTTGGCAATAATACATTCATGTGAAAAAGCTTCTCTCTAGGGTTCGGTAGCTTCTCGCCGCCGCCTTAGTGTAGGTTGAGTTTTCCCTTTTCGCTTTTCATTCTTGGCTTCGGACTTCTTCGAATCAAAGGTGGGGCGAGTAGGTGGTTTGGGTCTGTGTCTATCGGCAGGCATCGAGGAGTGCAGGGGGGAGTTTTTCTGGTTTGACTTTTGGGACGAGGGAAGTCGGTGGAGTGCTGCTGCGGCTTTTGGTTTGACTGCCGCGGCTTCGACTGTTGAGAAGAAGTCCTCTCGAAGGGGCATCTAGGCGGACGAATTTTTAACTATGGAAGATGTGGTAGAGCAGTATAGACGTTTGGCTTTGGAGAAGGAAAACAGTAGGCTGAATTTTGATGATGAGGAGGAAGATGTTACCATTCCAAACGCAAAGGCGGCGGAGTTTCCGGTGGTGGGAGTCATTCATACCGACCGGAAAGTAAGATTTCAGGCATTAGAAGATCTGTTTATACCGCTCTGGAGACCAGGAAGAGGAATGACGGTTCAAGAAATTGATGACAAGAGGTATCTATTTACTTTTAACCATAAAATTGATATGAATCGTGTTATAGATGATGGTCCTTGGCTGTTTGAGCGAAATCTGTTATTGTTAAAGGCGGTTGGCCCAAATGATATACCACATAAAATGGATTTGTTTGAAGCAGAGTTCTGGGTGCAAGTGCACAATGTGCCGTATAAGTTTATGAATGTTGATACTGCTAGGAGGGTGGGTAACTATATTGGGGAATTTATCAGTTTTGATGAGAGCCACTTTAAGGAAAAATGGAGTTCTTACTTGAGGGTTAGGGTTAAGATGGATGTGAGGAGGCCCCTAAAAAAGGGCTCTACTTTGACTAGTGGGGGGGGGGGGGGAAGGACACTGGGTTGATTTTAAATATGAAAAGCTACCCAGTTTCTGTTTCATTTGTGGGGTTATGAGACACTCTGAGAAATTTTGCCCATTAAAATATGTGGAGGATCTCGTGTTGGAGAAAAACTTTAGTGCTGATCTCAGAGCAAGTGGTGGGGGAAAGATTAGCCCCACAAGGGGTGGTAAGTGGTTGGTGGATAAACAGGGAGGTCCGAATCATTATAGGAGGGCTCAGGGAGATGAGGAAGAAACTATGAGACAGGGACGCAAGGGGAGTATAGCTGAGACAGAAAGTAGTGGCACAAAGGAAGAGAGTAGAAGCGGTGCAGGGGAGGTCTCGGTTGATCAGAAGCGCAGGAGAGTCTGGAAGGATCCGGCAGAAGAAAACAACACAGAAGAAGAGATGACACTGGACAACACAAAAAACGGGGAGGAGACGGGCTTCAACTAATAGGCCCGCCTGCTATGCTCGTGACGTTGCAGGTGCAGAAGTTCCATGGTGGTGCCTATTTTATTATTGCTTGTTTTATTTCTTTTGACGTTCAGACTGTTGTTTTTGTTTGTTGTTTTGTTTACTATTGTAAGACTCTTGCATTAGGCTCGGGTGATGAGAGTGCTATAGTAACCATTGTTGGCTCAATTATGCCCAATTTAGGGTCAGTGAATTATACTGCTTTCTTGAAGGTGGTTAATTCAGAGTCTGGCCCAAGGACGGATGGTTATTGGTGGTACTCTTGTTATTTTAGATCCTTGCTGAATGCTCTTATTCTAATATAAGCCCCCTTCATCCAAAAAAAAAATCATAATATGCTTAAATGATACGGAGTATATATAAAAGATGACTTATGAGTTGTGACATGTTTATTTGAACTGAAAACTTACTGATATAGTGATATACCCTCTGGAGTATTCTTGCTTTCCTTTCTTGCTCAGGGACTGAAAATTTTAAATTCATTAATGATCAATACTCCGTATAAAACTTAGGCTATGTTTGGTATGATGTAATGCAATGAAATGGAATGAAGTCCGTAATGCAATATAAAATGTAATGTAATGAAGTTTCTATTCCATTACTATGTTTGGTTACTTAAATAACAACTTTGAATTGTAATCAACATTACATAATGTAATTATGTTTGTGTATCTGTGTGTGTGCAGTGTGTGTGTGTGCGCAGCGTGTGTGTGCAGTGTGTGTGAGTGTGCAATGTGTGTGAGTGTGCAGTCTGTGTGTGTGCAGTGTGTGTGAGTGTGCAATGTGTGTGAGTGTGCAGTGTGTGTGTGTGCAGTGTGTGTGCGTGCGCGCGTGCAGTGTGTGTGTGTGTGCAGTGTGTGTGAGTGTGCGGTGTGTGTGTGTGCAGTGTGTGTGTGTGCAGTGTGCAGTGTGTGCAGTGTGTGCAGTGTGTGTGTATGTGTGTGCAGTGTGTGTGTGTGCAGTGTGTGTGTGTGTGTGCGCAGTGTGTCAGTATGTGTAAGCTATAATGTCAAATACACATCTTGTTTAGTGTAATGCTTATTACACAAATCAAAGTAATGAGTTGATTGAGTTCCACATATGCAATATAATGACCATTATATTACGGTTTAAAATAAAATGACATACTAAACATCTTAATCAAATCAACATGTAATGCTTATCACATTACATGGGTGATTACGCCATACAAAACATAGCCTTAGGGTGATATTTTTAAATTATTATATTCATTAAATCATTACTCAATACGTAGTATCAAGTTTAGGGTTAATATTCATGAATACTTTACACGTAGTATTCATCATATCGCTGAATATAAAGCTTAGGGTTGATATTTGGTGTTTTAAGTTTTTCTTGACACCATGTTGTTTTAAATCAAGTTTATAATTTCTACACTACCCTCCATATCACTTTATCTGTTCCTCTTTACTTTTCGAAACATATCAAATTAATTGTCTCATTTTCCATTTGAAAAAAACTCACTTAAAAAGCGGTTATAGTATCATTACAATACCAAAAACTTTATTTTTTATAAAATCCACAATAATTATTTTAAACTACGTGGAAAAGCAATTGAGACAAATAAATTAAAGTGATACGGAGGGAGTAAATAAAATTGTGCGAGATGCCCTGTAAAATATAGAATTTGGAACCCAAATTGAATGAAAATTTGAAAACTATCATTTTGAGCATTGTGAAATTGGTCTTTGTCCTTTTAAATCTTACGGAGTATTAGTTTTCCAAATCCTTTTGTAATGTCTATTTTGGAGTCTTGTCCTTTTGTAGAAGTTGATACCTGTCAATATTTTGTACGAGTACTCAATATTGGGGGTTTGGGATTTGGTCACTTGGGAACGTCAATTCAAGTCATTAAGTATTATGCATTTCTATTATAGTACTACTCTCTCCGTAACTTAAAAATCTTCTTACTTTCCTTTTTCGTCCGTAACTAAAAAATCTTTCTATTTCTATATCTTCCCATCATACGCTCAATAATTTTGAAAATAATACACTATTACAACTACTTTGGATTTATCCTAACTTCCATCACACTATTCCACTATCTTCCCATCATACCCTCAATAATTTATATCCTCTTTCACTATTCTTAATCGACCTACTTTTCAAATGGGAAGATTTTAAAGTTACGAAGGGAGTACTATTTAAGATTGACCATGAAAACGCGATACAATTATTTAGAAAAATAGATTCATAAGATTTGTATTAAATACGTAAAGAATAATTATAATAATAAAGAATTAAAACTAAATGATAGTATAAAATCAAATATCGGATAAAATAACCTTAACGTGATAGAATGAATAAAGTGAAGAAAAATACGTAGTAATAATAAGAGGAATTGAATACGGAGTAAGACGTAACTCTACAAATAGGTTGCTTTTTCAATACCATTATACCGACATTCAACATTGATCTTCCGCATTCTTCCCTTGTGAGACGGAACCAAAAAATACTACAAGCCAACGAGACACGTAAACTGGCATTTAATATTGAAAATATTGATTTTTTACATTTCGCTTTTTGGAAACTTGCACTTGGTATATGGTTAATATTGATTTTTTTTACATAATCACAACTATACATTTTTAATTTATTCCCACTTTTTTATACATCAATTCATGCCAAATCAGGAAGAAACCAAAAATAAATTTACTCCCTCCGTCCTACAAAGAAGTTCTCAGTTTGACCTACACACATATTAAGGAAAGAAATAAACTTAACATGAGGTAAATTTTACTGTTTCAATACTGTTTGACACTGTTTTGCACTGTTTCACACTGTTTTGATGTAAATAACTGGACATTTAAAGAAAATGGAACTTCTTTTTGGGATTGCTAAAACAGGAAAGCAGAAACTTCTTTGCGGGACGGATGACGTATATAAAAAGGAAAATAATAATGGAGAATTAAAGGGGAAAAAATTATGGGCAGTCATGATTTTATGAATGCAAAAAGCTAGTTAGAGTTGGGGCCATGATTTGACGATTGACTAGAAATTTGATAAAATTTCATGATTTTTTTTTGCAATTCGTTAGTCATCGTTTGATTACTAGTGCATAGGTTTTCATATTCCATCACCATCATCATTATTGTTATTATGAATTACTAGTATAATTATTATTATTATTACTATTGAAGTTTTTCTCGGATTAATGGTAATTAAATAAATAAATTCCGATTAAAAATAATTCTCAAAATACTGTTGGTCTTAACCGTGATTAAGGAGAGCGCCGGTCAAAGCAAGATCGAGTCGCCAGTCCAAGTGGCGGCTCATTAATAAAAAATCACCCCCAGTCCTCAATCGAACGACCAACGACAGAGAGCAAACCCAACCCGCATCTGTGAACTGGAACGACGACAGACACCTTTTTGGCCGAAATTTGTGATGGTCCTAGATAGAGGTAAAAGTCTGGGGGGGGGGGGGGTGAATAGACTTTTAAAGCTTTTTCAACTTTTAAAGAATTTCCCTCACAGATATAATGATCAGTAATCTTTTGAGAGATTAAGGATCCACAGCGGAAGTCTAGACCTCTATGAATATAACAACCTTCTGTTAGTGAGTAGACAAGGGGAAGTCTGAGTAAGGTAAAATGAGCGTTTCTTATTTTGGGAGACAGAGGAGCTAGGTGGCAGAGATGCTTTGGACAGAAGGTCTCAATCAGAATACCTTGATATGATGTTCTGATGTCTTCTTGACAGAACCCTTCCTGAGGTCTTCTGTTGAACTTGTAACAGAATCCCTCACAAGGTCTTCTGCTGGACTTCTAAGGTGATAATTGCTGAGAGACTTTGAGAGTTGGTTAGAAGAGTGGACTGCTGCTGAGGTTTTCTGGTCACGTTTCTGCTAAGATTTAAGAAGTGTTTGGTGTGTGCTTTGTTGGCTGAAAAAACGAATCAACACACAGTATATCCTGGTTCAGAGGTGGTGTAATCCTCCTACATCCAGTCCCACCCTCTTTCAGATGGATTTCCACTAAAGTATTAAGCCCAATACACTTACGGCCTGTTTGGATTGAGTGTTGAGGAGTGTTAGTAATGGAAGTGTTAGTAAGTGTTGATGCTAACACTTGTTTGTGAGAAAAAACCAGATGTGTTAAGAAGTGTTAGTAATGGTTAGGAAGTGTTAATAATAACCTTCCCAACACCTCAATTGTCCATTTTTTTAACACCCCGATTTGGAGTGTTTTGAGTTGTTGGACAGTTATTACCCTTCTCATTTGCCCGAAAAACATAAAATGCTTCGACATTTCACTTCAAATGTCTTTCCCACGGGTCTGATGGTTTGTTTTTTCATCTCTTCTCTTTACTCTTTCTTTACTCTTTCTTTAACACTTCCATTATTAACACTTCATTCATTTGACTCTCCCATACAAGGTAAAATTATGTCTAACACTTACACTTCCCTTCCCTTCCGAACCCTTACTAACACTTACTAACACTTCCATTACTAACACTTCCAAACACTCCATCCAAACAGGCCCTTAGTGCCCGTCTGGCTGTTATCACCCAACTAGCTCAGACCTGAAGGTGTTTCACGAGTACACACCACTCCAAGTTACTCAGTCCTTAGATTTTCTCAATTGATCCAGTGGGGATCAAAAGGCACTCTGTTCAAATCTACCACACTTAGGACTAGATAAGACTGTCCTTCTAAGTGTTTACAACATTTTCAAAAGTAATAAAATTTCTAGCCTCCAACTAATAACTAAACTTCCAGGATTTGGCAAATGAGTGTTCTGTCTGGGAAGTTTAGTGAAGCATGAGTCTAAACAGAGAGCCGAGTTTAAATGAGCACTTTCTATTATGCTGGGTTTCTCTTGAATGCTTGGTATAATTTCTCTGTTTTGAAGAATCTAAAAGCTTGAATGTGAACTCATGCTTGTGCCTTTATTTATAGGCATCTCCGGTTGATTAATCTCCTCCGTTGGTTGAGAGGATTCAATCTTTGACGTCGAAAGAGTTGTACTTTCGTCTTTTTGTGTTGGAGCAGATTATCTTCTTCAGACGCAATTGGATCAATTTGCAAGTAGGATATGTGAACCCATACCTTAGTCCTTGTACGCACTATTCACCTACTTGTAGGTTTTGGCTTTGCATGCAACTTTGCATGTGTAGTGTCTTGTGATTTTATAGATATATTGGACTTAGTAAATTTGTGACTTTAGTCTTTCTGTATCAAATATTTTTGTACTGGTAGGATTTAAATATCCTTTTTAAGGTAAAGGAAAATTACCTTATTGCTTTTTATATTTCCAGTACAATTTATTTGATACAAAAACTTTACATGTAAAATTGGTCACAATTTTACTAGTGACATGGATAACTTT